CACGGATTTCTAACTCCTCCTGCTTATTATAACTTACTAATATTCTTAATCTAATAAATAATGCTTTTTTATACCAAATGTAAAGTCAAAAATTAAGTTTAGACTGAGAACTGTTTTTTCTGGCGAGAGCCAAGTACTTAATATTTTTGTTTTGTGTTAAATTATGTAGAAGTGTGTATGTCTTCCTTTCAGTGAAACTAGTAGCTATGTTTCTATATTAGAGCCTTCTAGGAAGTTTACCTACAGAATGGAGTGACTGACATTTTTTAATGGATGTGTATCATAACTCAGTTATGGATTAGAAAAAATACTATCAAATGTAGATTTTGCAGTTTTTTTAGCCTGGAAAGTGTAACAGCAGCACACTGTATCCACCTGTAGTTAGCACATGTAAAACACAATCTCTGAATCTCTTACAGAATCACAGAATGGTTTGGGTTGGAAAGGACCTTAAAGATCATTGAGTTCCACCCCCCCTGCCCTGGGCAGGGACACCTCCCACTAGACCAGGTTGCTCAAAGCCTCATCCAACCTGGTCTTGAACACCTCCAGGGATGGGGCATCCACAACTTCCCTGGACAACCTGTTCCAGTGCCTTACCACCCTCAGTGAAAAATTTCTTCCTAATGTCTAGTCTAAATCTACCCTCTTTCAGCTTATAACCATTACCCCTTGTCCTCTCACTATACTCCCTGATAACGAGTGCCTCCCCATCTCTCCTGTAGCCCCCTTCAGGTACTGGAAGGCTGTGCTGTTAAGTCTCCTCGGAGCCTTCTCTTCTCCAGGCTGAAGAACCCCAACTCTTTCAGCCTGTCCTCATAGTGGAGGTGCTCCAGCCCTCTGATTAATTTTGTGGCTCTCCTCTGGATTCTCTTCAATAGGTCCAGGTGGTTTTTATGTTGGGGGCCCCACATCTGAACACAGTACTCCAGGTGGGGTCTCACAAGAACAGAGTAGAGGGGGAGAATCACCCCCCTCGACCTTCTGGTTATGCTTCTTTTGATGCAGTCCAGGATATGGCTTTCTGGGCTGCAAGCGCACACTGCTGGCTCATGTTCAGCTTTTTGTCAACCAGTACCCCCAAGTCTTTCTCCTCAGGGCTGCTCTCTATCCATTCTCCACGCAGTCTGTATTTGTGCTTCGGATTGCCTCAGCCGACATGCAGGACCTTGCACTTGGTCTTGTATAGTTTAATGAGGTTTGCATTCTTCCTCCAGAATGAAGAAATACATTTTTCATAAACAATTTTAAAAAATTCTTTTAGGTATTTCTGGTACTTCCATTGCAAAAAATATCACTTTGGACCATGCAACTGCAATAATACTTTCATGCAGATTGGACAATAAACATTCTCATTTGAAAAGTCTTCAAGTGACTTGGAAGAAAGGAAATGAAACAATCAGACACAATACAACTGAAAACAGCTGGAACATCCAGTAAGTAGTGTTCTTTACAGTTTGACTTGCAGGTTCTAATGCGTTATTATATGCATATGCACTCCCACTGCTAGTCATATCTTTTCTAAGAGTCAAATTGAGTGATTAATAAATGCCTGTAATTGACATACTAAAGCTGTAAGAAAGGAGAAAGGTTACAGTGAGCCTGGAGGAAGAGGTTCTGTTCTTCCTCTAGTGCTGGTAAAACAAAGTTTCTTTGAGGCAGGAATATAGACACTGACCTTTGAGGTCCAGTAATTCTGTTCAGTAAGTGAAATAGTAATCTCAGACTGAGATTGCTAAAATACCTCAATGTGTTTTTCCACTCTCTCATTTTCCACATTTTCTTTTCCACTCAGTGGTGCTTTGCAGAAGTCTGGTAAGCATCAATGGCCATTTTTTTTCCTTCATAATTAGCAAAAGAGAAGAAATTAGCTTTACAGATTTTTTAAAAGTTTTCTTAGCTCTTTTGAACATCTACAGCTACTTAAGGAGTGTTGTAGAAAACTTTCTTCAATCAATGCTATTTACTGTTGAGCTTTAAAAATCTGTAAATGGACTATTTTTAAGCAGGTGTCTCCAGTTGATTTCTGTATTGCTTATGTTCTTAATATCAATAGTATTTATCTAAATTTTCAATGGTAGAAAATGTGATGAGAATGTACTGTCACTTTTCTGCTACTCCATTTACAAAAGCACAGCCATGTAAATCTTGTTCAAAGTGCCTGTGAAAGGTATAGTTTGCTAGCAGAGAAGATGCTGAATTTCATTAAATGGCAGCTCTTTAAAACTGTTCTGTGTTGAAGCTATGGTAGCCATTAACTGTCTGGCTTTAGAAAGAAGAAACTATTTAAATAATTTCTGAAGTCCTACATAGCATAAACTATGAAGTTCACATGGTGAACCCACATCTAATTTGGTAACCTGTAGCTCATAGTGCTTAAAGATGTTTGGCCTTCTGTGAGCAACAAGGGTGAAAATGATACTTGTTCTCAGTGCTTGTGCTCTTCAGAAATGTCATGCTGCTTCTACATTGCACTAAACCTGAATCCTAGTGTATCGATGATGTGTGTTCTCTGCTCTGCTACTGATCTCTGGTTTCTTCAGAATGTTCATTAGCAGTTGCTGATAGTTGTAGGACAAAAGAAAATATGAGCAAAAAAGCAAATTGGTGACATTTCTTTTTTTAAGATTGATGGTTTCAGATAACAGTAAGCTGGGAAGTTACAGTTGTACTCTGAAAGGTGAAGAAGAATTCAGTGCTATATTTCATTTACAAGGTAATTGTATTTGCTTTTCATTTAATTATTTAATTAAATTTTTTACTTTTGCTTCTCTTGACTATTGAAATCCTGTATTAACATGATTAGTATGGAAATTGCAGCTTAATTCGATAAGCAGTGACTAATATGGTCAAGCTAAGTGAGAACTGCTACCCAAGGCATTTCTGTACTTAAAACCCATCACTCTTCAAATAACTACCCTAACCTCAGCTGAATTAACCAGTGGGGCTTTATAATTCTCAGTGCTGCAAGCTGGTCTTGTTCAGTGGGATATCTGGTCATATGACTTGAGGAAGCTCTCATATGTTTGAATCTTGAATAGTGATATTGATATCTCTTTCATACCTTCAGCCAGGGGAGACAAGCTTGCAATACTGAAGAAAGACAATTGTAGTTCATTCAGACCTCTTGGGTAAGGTTTAGTTGAATGGCTACCCAAGGCTGTGTAGGTTAAGAATAGTCAAAGCAGACTTTATTCTTTTGAAAGTATACAATAACTCTAGGTAAGGGCAGGAATGACTCAATAGGGAAGTAATCTTTTTCAGAACAGTGCATAGGACTGGTTGATTTATTACAAAAAGATGGGAGAATTGCTTCACAGTGGTTGAATGCTGTTACTTCTGATGCAATAAAAAGTACTGGCTTGACACTTTTCAAGATTAATGCAAGAGTGAAGGAAATGGGAAAGAAAGTCCTTGAATCTTCCAGTCAATAATGCTGAGAGAACAAATCTCAAACTGAAAGATGAGTAATGTGTTTGTATAGACTCAGTGCCCAAAGTCATCACTGCTGTAACTAACTGCAATAGCTTTTCCACTAGGCAGTTAGGCATTATTGGATGTGTTGCCTCTCCTCTCCTTCCCCTCCATCCTGGCTTGGCATAACTCTGCAGATTTTGAGGAGTTATTACCTAGGTTTGCAGAAGAAATAAGAGGTGCTTATAGGAAGTTCAAATCATTACACATGGAGACAATTCATGGGTATTCTAAAATGATGTGAAGTGTTGTAATAGCTATTTTAAAGGGTACAATAGATTAATTTGTGTTTGCGCTTTGAGGGAGTAGATTTCCTTAAGCAGCTGTCCAGGTATGTGCACTGTGAAACAACCCTGCTTTTTAAACCAGTGTGGAAATCTGACTGGCATAAATGTGGGTGTGATCACCTGTTTTGTAATCTCTTCAATAGTTTGTTTTTTCTATGCAGTGGCAGTGTTTTGTCACCAAATTCTGGGTGATCTACTTGAAAAAATACCTGGGACAAAGCATATTATTTACTTGAATGCAGTCAAAGATTAACCACTCTGTTACAGAGCCAGATCCCAGGACTCAGATGGTTATTCATGTCCTTAATCATGGCTAGTGTGGTCACATGTGTTGCTGGTATGCCTGTATCTGTGCTTTACCACTGATCAGCATGGCTAAATCTTTTTGACTACCACATAAACCTGTTGTGTTGTGTTTGAGAGGTTTTTGTTTTCATATTTTCCTTTTTTTTGCTTACCTGCTTTTTTTCTTCTATAAAATTGTGCAAAGAAGGTGGCAGTGGTTATTAGTAAAGTTGTCCCTTTTACTGACAGCTGTGAAGATATTCTGCCACTACTCTTTGAAAGGATAGTTTTTAATGATTAAAACAAATGCACATAGAGTGAGAAGACTTCACTAGTAATGAGGCTGGACTGATGTATGGTGCAGCAAATTCTGAGTTTGTAAGCAGTGTTCCCATTATCAAATAGATTTCGTATGTATTTCTGGAATGGAAATCTTATAGTTTGAATACTCATGAGAAGTGGACTTCTTGGGGCAATTAATTTGTGCTCAGCCAGTCAAAAGGAGAGGGAACAAGAATAATTCTAGTTCATATATATGAAAAAAGTATGTTTGTTTCTAGTGTACTGGAACTGAAGCATGTATTTCACAGCTGTAGAGGAAGGAAAAGAGAAAAAGGCAAAGGCAGAAATCAGTCAGATTATCACTTTGTTTTCAGTATTAATTGGCAGCTTTTAAGGTCATATAGCAACAGAGAAGAGGATTTGTGTAGTCTTCTGTACAAACTCAGTATAGGGAATATAATTCTGAAATTATTTTCCGTGTAGATAATGTAATGAATGATAGAATCATCTGGGTTTTTAAGGGAAAAGGAATTGAAAGGACTAATATAAATACATATTTAAAGAGATTTTACCTTTTTGTAATACTGTAATTAAAACCTGTAGCTCTCACTTGATGAACTTTTTCCTACTTGTTTTTAGTACCAAAAATTGAAGGAAGAGAAAAACCCATAGTCACTTACGAAGGAGATACAGCTATAATGATTTGTAAAAGTCTTGGCTACACTCCCATTGCTTGGACCTGGTATATGACCAATGGAAGTAAACAGGTAAGGTTTCCATCTGTTGGCCAAACAAAACAATGTGGCAAAACACAAAGTATGGACACTTAGTAAAGCGTAATGAGTTTTCACTGTGGGCTTTACAATTTGCATTTCCACTAAAGTTAATGTAAATCTCTGTACATGGAAAAAAATCAGTGATATTTAGAAGTATTCATTATTACAGGGATGTAGTTTCTGTTCTGATTTGTATGATATTTCTTTTCTGAAAAGTCCCTGCCATACTCTTATAGCCCAGATTAGAGTTAAACAAATCAAGTGAGCCCTGAGATACTTGTTTTTACTATATTAATGATGGTTATATTGCTCAAATCTTACCACTTGATACCAAAAAAAAAAAATCTTACCATAGCAGGACACTTTTAAAGACATGGAAGGTATTGAAGCTTTTAAGGAGAACAGGAGCTTGTCCTTTTTCTTCCTCCTTCCAGTACAAGTAATTCTGCATTTCCCAGTCTTGGACCTCTCTGGGGCACTTTGACGTGAAAGTGAAAGAGGTCAACCTGTGGTGGAGACTGCTGTGCCACTTGATTCTGAAGGAGCTGAAATATCTCTTCAGTTCTTTCCTTAAAGTCTGTGAGGAAAAATGTGACTCAGCAGTTTCCCTCTTTCATATACCTACCTTTCAGGATCCCCCTTAGCCTTGGAAGCTGAGCCACTTTGTTCTAGCACTTTTCTGGGGGAAGCACTGTCGACTGAGAGGAGGTAAATAGATCTATCTCCTCTATACTGCTGGAGAGTAGCATTGACTTGTGAGAGTATCAACATATTTCCCAGTGAAACAGCATTCCCAGCTCAGCTGTCTTGAAAGTGTATGCTTTGTGCTGTGGTGAAACCTGGACACTAGATGATGATACCTGAAGCTACCTTCGTTGGGGAGAGTCAACAGAGTCAAGGGTGCCTTTCATCTGAGCTTAGTCAGACAACTTGCACTTTTAGTGAGCATATTTGCCTCCATTGAGTGTAAAGGGAACTGGAGGGGAGAGGGGGGCAGCTAAGATAAATCCTTCCCTTGGAGGTGGACTAAACATGCTTCACAAATGCCACTTCTTAACTCACTTTACTGCACTCTGTATAGAACTAGCTGTTAATATAAATTTATAATTTGATTAAACACTTTCTTATTTCATTAATAAGACTTGTAATGTATTTTTTGTTTTCAGATTGCCATTAATGACACTCTGCTACCAGACAAGTATGTAATTACGAGAATATCTGCCAATGTAACCCATCTGAAGATACTGAAGCTCACCAAGGAAGATGATGGTGTATATTGCTGTGAAGCTGCTTTTGAACTAGGGAAAAGTCAAGGAAAGACTAAGCTTAAAGTTCTGTCCCTCATGGCACCTCTCAGACCCTTTCTAGCAGTTGTGGCTGAAGTTGTTATTTTAGTAACTATCATTTTCATTTATGAGATGTACTCAAAAAAGAAAGAGAAATATGCAGGTAGGTCTCGTTTTAGTGTTCTCTATCTTTCCATTCAAAGTGCAGCTGAAGGTAAAAGGTATGACCCATGGCACTTTACATATGAAATTCAGTGTGTTTTCACATCTGTATTTTTTCCTGATAAGATACTTTATTCTAGCACATTGCATTATTTTAGATTTTTTAAATCTCTTCCATGAGTCTAGAATTAGGGTACAAAGTGCTTTCAATAAGCAATACTTTCTGATAAAGGGTTTGATATAGTCTTTATTTTTTTCTGTACAAAACAAAGGAATTTAGAGGCTATACTACTTCGGGGAGTAGTAATAGAAGCAACTATTAGTAGCCTTGATAGGAGAAGCTTCTGTCAAGAAGTTGAGTAAGAAGAAAAAATGTGTTAAAACAGAATGCACTAATGTTGGTTGCAGAACCTAAGGCACACATAGGTGAGCCAAACTAGATGTACAAGATGAAACAAGTAACATGGACACATCTTTAGACAGATGTTCTGTATATATGGATTATACATATATAGTATTATACATAAATGAATACATGTATTTTTCTGTATTTTATAAATATATAACACGTTAAAGTCAGATTAATAAAATTTGATTGAAGTAACTTTTTTGACAAATTTTCAGGTAATTCCTTTGAATAGAAGAACCAGATAATTTGAATTACAAATTTAAGAAAACTAATAAAATGAAAAAAATATTTTCTTTTGCTTATAAGTGGAATAAATAATATAATTAAACAGAACTTTTTTTAGTGTTTGTTAAACTGAGACCTTATATAATCCTTTTTCTCTTATGAAGAAGGTGAAAAGGAATTTGACCAAATTGAGCAACTGTAAGTAAAGAATTTTTATACTATCTTTAAATACTTGCTCTTTTGCATATTACTGTGTTTGTATAATATTATAGCTTGGTGAGGGTTAATGATGAATGTGAAAGTTAGTTTCTTTCCTTAAGACTTCCTAATTCCAGAGTGTGCAGAGTGTTGTTTTTCACTTGGCACTTAATTTTGGTGTTTGGAAGATATTTATTCTTTGAGAGCGCCATGTGTCCTCATTATAAACTCGTTCTAAAAGGCTATACCAGTGAGGAAAATAACTTCCAAGTGGAAATTTTACAGAGGAGGCTTTGAAATTTTTTCTTGTATGTATTTTTGTCTGTATTAACTTACATTTCTCTCACTTGCGTGTGGTCAAAGCCCTAACTGTCCTAAGTCAGTCTGTGGTTGCCAGGATGTTGAGAGCTTGTGGTGCTGGCTGTTGTGGTGGTAACTCCAGCTTCCTTAGTGGGGGCCTTTCACTGGCCACTGTGCTGATGGCTTGGGCTCCCTGGGTGTAGGAATGGCTGCACTGCTGGAGCCAAAGGACCAGGTGTAGGCACTTCTGTTGCTGCTCTGCTGCTTGAGGGTTACTGCTCTTGTGCTAGCATCCCCCTTGTTAAGATGATGCATTTCTAAAGGCTTGCTTGTTGAACTAAACTACTCTCCATCTGCTCATCCTTTGGAGCCCAGTCACTTCATTTGGCCTGTTAACTTCTCTTCTGTTTTAAGGTGCAGCCTAGTGGTTCAGTTCCTCTGCTCTTTAGATGTGTCCAGTCTACTCCAGTTTTGTTTCCCTCTCAGTCCTTTTTCTCCACTTATGTTTATCTCCCTTTTTTCCTTCTGAGTAGCACTGTCTTTCCCTCTTTGAATTTCTTGCTGTAGTGACCTTTGTTTCCCTGTGCTGTATTCACTTTCCCATTCCTTTTTCCAGTGCTAGCTGAAAATACATTTTAGTGCTTTTCTCCTTATGTAAACAGCTTTAGAGCTATAATTTAATTATACTATAAAGTGGGGATATGTCTTGAATGTAGTATGCTGTTACACTGCTGAGTGTTTGAGGGTATGTGTTGGGCTGAAAATTGAATAATTGCCCTTGTTGCACAGTCCTGCTTTTTTACAAACATGCTGTTACTGTATTACAATAGGTTTGTAACACAGTGCATAAAATAATGTTTTCATGCATGATGAGATGTGATAGGTGGGTTGGACCAGCTGCTTGGTCTTTACTTTGGAGTTCTATCTTAAATGCATGTGAGGAATTAAATAATGTACTACTTGCCTAATTTTAATAACTGAAAGCTATTTCAACTACTGTATGTTCAGAAGATAGATGTGTGTACCAGAGAGAATGGCTCCAAAGGAACTTTTCTGGTCTGTTATGTCAAGAGATGACTAATATGCAGCTGAACTTTGTTGATGAAGCTGTAATTAAAATGTCACATCAAACAATATATTAGGTGGGAGGCTAGTGATTCATAACTAATTCTCGTACAAAAAAATCTAAAGTCTTGATTGTGACCAACACAATATAGCTAGTTGTAGGTACTCCAGAAGGAACAATTATTTGTTTCAGTCCATGTTCTGATGATTGAGTTTTATATTGCTTGTATATTATTTTAGCATTCACTTTATATACAAATTCTATACACTGAATGAAATAATAGTATAACAATAATTTCTGGGAATACTATCACCGTTATAACTTCTGCTCAGAACTTTCTGGGATTCTTGAAGGGTTGAGTTGAGCCTTTAGTACTTGACTGAAAGACTTCAAGAGTCAGTATTTTAGTTGCTTAAATTTTGTTTAGCCTTTTTTCCTTACAACTTCACATACTAAAAGAGAAAATCAAATATGCTTTAGATGTACTCCGGTTGGATTGTGGGACTGGATGACTGTGCTCAGCCTATACTTAACAGCCAGGTTTTGAAATTTAATCTCTTTCTTATAGTAAATCAGAAGAAAGCAATGGTCTGGAAAGCTGTGGTGCTAGGCACAGAAGAACTTAATCTGCTTCCTAAAAGGTAAGTAAGAGATGAAACAGACCAGGGTTTACTTTGTCTTGAGCAACCTAATACAAGGACAGAGAAATACAGTGCACCATCCCAATGTGTTTTTTGTGATGTGGGGATGACATAGTAGTAGAACCATTGTTTAGTAGTTGTTCGTGTTGTAATATCAGCAAGAAAGTGAGTCAATCAATGCTGTCATCATCATTGTGGTTCAATAGTTCTGTTCATGCGTGCAGTCCTTAAAAATAGGACTCAGGCTAACCTGCTTAACTGCTTGGTTCCTGATCATGAAGCACAATGCCAGGGTAGGTACAGAGATTAATAAGAATAGCTGATGTATCCAAAATCTTGCTTTTTCAGCTGTATTTTGGGTATCAAGTGAGTTTATGTAAGAAGGATGGCAGTGTAACATCAACTGGGGAACATGACAGTACCAGAGATATGAAACAAGGAATTGTAGGAGTCTAGGAAAGAAAACAGCTCAATGGGTGGTGATGAACGGGTTTAGTGGTAGAAGCAAGCAGAGGATATGTAGCCCTGTGGAAGCTATATAATGAACTTCCCTGGTTTTTGGTCCTCTTTAGAGTCTAATTACAGGCTTCCTCTACTTATGCCAGCTATGCTTGCCAGAGGATGGTCTGTCTGAGGACCAACACTGCACACTCTAGCTGTTTCCCCTTGTCATTCCCCCTCTGCATCTGGCACCCCAGTGTCTCATCTCAATAGATGAGGTGTGAGTGACTTCATATGCATGTCCTACGTAGTGTTTTTCCTCATCATAAGCCATCTACCTGAAGGAAGATTGTTTCCATACCCTTTGTTTTAAAGAACAGAAAAGTGTCAGGTAAAGAATAACAGATGAGAAAACAATCAAGAACAAATACTTTCTGAGAATACATAGTCTTACTGTCTCCTGCACATTGTCATTGTTGATTGCTGTGACTTAGGTTCCAAAGTCATATATGAACGCTGGCTCTAAGGTCCCATTCTTGTAAAGTCCTTTTGCCACATGACACATGGTGAATCACTAAGTATGCAGATTTGCAAATTGGACCATTCAAAAAGATTGTAAAACAAAGTGGATGAAGTTTTTATTTTCAAACAAATGTGGAAAAATTAGTAGCAAAATAATAGAGTTCATGTTATAAGGAAATGTGTTTATTCTTTTTTAGTTCAGGAGATTTAAGCCAACAGAAGTGGAAATTGTCACAAAGCTACAGAAGATGTGTGCGGCTATGCATTTTAAACATCCACTATGCTTCTAAGTAAACTCCTCTACACTTAGGAGAAATAAGATGCTTTAAAAATATCAGTGAAATCCTTTATACAGATGATAGTCTATTCTGATATATGGCATTTAAACCTTTGTCTGTAACATGGTTATTTTACTACTAAAAGGCAGTTTTTACGTGATCAGACTTATATTGTTTTATGACTGATCTGTTTGATTTTGTCCTAAATTGGAACTAGCCTTGCATTCACTGAATGAACAGGTAATATAGAATGGGCCTATTATTTACATGTTATAAAGCTGTACTTGTAAACTCAAAAAAATTTCCACCAAAGAAAATGCCTTTTACTAGCAAATGAAGCAAATGTGACACAGCCATTTTTACCAAAGAAATGGTCAAAGGGAAATCTTTATCGTGATTTAAATGAACCATTAACAGTTTTGTAGTTTGCTATGAACAGTAAAATGTCTTCATTTTAACTTTTCCTAGCCTCATTTAAATGGGAAATATGGGTACATTCTGAATACTTAAGCAATACGCATTCAGCAATTAAAATGTGCAGCTAATAGAAAAAGTTGGTTGCCTTAGTTGCCTTTGCTTTGTTAATCCAAAAGAAAAATAGAGAAAACTTCAATTTTAAGAAAGTGAAAAGTAAGTTTTCAGAAGGATTTCTTCTCTCAACAAAAATGTAAGTAAAAAAATAGGCAGTGTTTGCAAACTCCATAGGGAAGCAACAGGCAAAGACATCTAAATAAAATTTCCTCAAACTAGTAACTTTTCTTTGAACATCAAGGAAAACAGAAAAATGAAGGGAACTAAATCTATTTTACTTTTTTCTTTTTTACTGTTCTTATAGTTTTGCAAGTATCAGAAAGCCTAGCATTGGCTGTTTGGTTGGAAATGGGAGACAAAATCCAGTCTGATCTATCAATTTTTGCTTTTCATAGTTTATTTTGCATCTTTGACTACTACAAGTTAAAGTCCAAATAAACAATGGGAAGTATATAAGGATTAAGTGGTTGACTGTAAGTGATGAACTCTGATAAAGATTTCCCTTGCTCAGATACTGTGTTTCTTGTTTTTTGCCTTGGAGTTTCTGTGCACTGTAAAAACCAGAATGCATTTACAGGCTTTTATATGAGCTTGTCATTGATATGACTGCATTTTTGTTATAGTATGTAAATGTTTGCAGTTTAAAGAGATCTACTTCTGTATATTAGTTGTTTGAAATGTATCATTTTATTTTTTGTAGAAAAACTTTTTGTAGGAAATTCAGTAGTAAAAATAAAACCCTACTTAGAGCTCTAACAGTTTGAATGAAGCAGAATTAATCTCTTGCAACAAAAAGGAGGCTATGTACTATCTGGAAAAAAGCCCACCTTTTAATCAGAAATGGCAACAACTTCTGCATTCACTGAGCGTTCCTACCTGATCTTGATATTGTGGCATGAAGTCTTGGCCAGCATAGGCAAGTTAGGTGAACAGATACTTTTATGTGTTAGCTAACAAGGGCTGTACTGGAGGCAGGCAGGAACTGGAGAACCTGGCTTAACCATGGATTTTTAGACCTATGATGTGTTCCTTCTGTCAGGACTGTATTAGCGTTCGGTTAAATTGGCTACCCTGTCTCTGGTTTTGTCTTGACCTGCCTCTAGTGTATATTGTTTGCCATGTCTGCAGGGGGTTTGGTGTTTACTTTTAGGTTGGAAAGTAGTTTTTTCATCTTGGTAAGTGGTTTTACACATATCTGCCTATGTTCAAACCTTCTTGAGTTCCCCTACAGAAGGGAATAAATAATACTCAATGATAAATATTAAATAATTAAATAATTAAGTCATAGCTTCAAAGGCATAAACCCTGCTTTTCTAGTCCAGATATTACATAGGAAGCTCTGGAAATGTAGAAATGTACCACATGAATTTCTCATAAAATATACATGTTCAAAACACTCATAATGCTGTTTGTATATCTTTTATTATGTGAATATAGCCTTTAATAGAACAAAAATCTGGCAGCCTTAAAAACCCAAAACTCTAGGTAATGATTTTTTTAACCTCATTCAAGCCAAGAGATACCAAATGAGAGCCAAAGCAATCCTGAACATATTTCCTTCAAACAGCAGTTAGAGCTGTGTGTGAGGATCCACAAAATTAGTTTTAGTAACAAACAATCAGTAATAGTAGACTTGTGCAGATCTTGTCTTCTAAGATCAAATCCTTTGTTTTCTTGCAAGAGGTGATGTATTAGGGTTTCTATACGAACAAAAGCCTTATCTTTTCTTAGAGGAAAAGATGAAAGTCTGCAAAAGAATTCTGAAGGGCTGTTTCCTAACACTTTAAACTGCTCACTGCAAATTGCTCCTTTCGTTAGGTCCAAAGTAGATATAAACAGCTGTGAGACCAGATTTCTAGTGAAGCTTGGCAAATACTGGAACAGTTTCCAAACTGTGGGCTCGATAGAACTGTATGAATATTTCCTTAGGATGGAGACCTAAGAATTATCCAGTAATGAGTCAAAATTATTAAGTGGTTACCTGTAGGTTATTTGACACACACACAGTCCTGATGAAGATAGGAAGAACCCATCAATATTGATGTTGATACTGAAATCAGCAGCTACTGAAATCAGCACCCATGTGCCTCTATTTTTCAGCCAAAGAAAATGAGGTTTGTATTCTGCCTTTGCATTCACCTTCAACCCCTTTTCAACACTGACTGCTCAGCAGTTATACTTCAAAAAGAACTGATGGGTGTCTTCAGCGTAGGGGGAGATTCAGCGTAGTGGAGTGACCCGAGAGTGTTGAGCTACCCAGTGTGTGCAGGCTGACTGCAGTTAGCCACATCACCTTGCAATTCTAGCTGGGAGCTCCCCAAAAGGGACAAGGTTGTGGGGCCGTGAGAAGGACCTGCAGGTATTCCATAGGGGTCCTGAGGGACGGATGGCAGGAGCTGCAGTTAGGTGTGTACAGGGAATATAGTGTTCAAATGTGTAGGAGGAACAATATGGGTTTAGTTGTGCTGTTCAAAGTGTTTGCATAGGAAGCTCTGTACAGTGACTGAAAACAATCTGCCCTTGCTAAGCAGTTGCACAGGTGAAAGGACAAAGCCAAAGTGATATGTTTCATAAGTTACATCCTTGGAAAATTTTTCTCCACTGGTTTTAAATAGTTTTGCAGTCATTGTTATTTTCTTAGGCTGGAACATGCATATGTTATGCATTAAACAATTCTTTATGAAAAAAATAACCAAGTTCCAAACCTTACAACTTGTTACTAAAACTGTTGAGTTGTTTAAATTTGCTGTTGATAAGAGTTCATTTTTCCAGTTGAATTTTATAAGACTTTAAACTTGTAATGTTTGTTCCATCTGAGCTAAAATGATTGTTCTTCTTCCATACAGAACTTTAATCTGATTTGTTTTTCCATTCAGCCTTCTATTTAACCAAGATTTTTGTTCTCTTTTTGTTATTATTTTCTTATTATCAACTTCCTGAATTAGTTTCAAATTGACATTAAAAGTTAGGTAACAGTGCCTTGAAGGAAGGAATTTGTTTACTGTAGTTAAGTTCATTTTTCTCTTGTGCAATATGTTTGTTAAGAGTTTTGGAAGAAACTTAACAGTAAAATATATTTTTTTTTAGTGAAAGACTATTGAGCCTCATGCTTTTATCACACTTGCCTTATTTACATTCTGATTTTGTATTCTGTGCTCACTCAACTGTTCAGTTGTTTTGCTTGAGCAGTAAGATGTCTGCAGAAAATGGAAT